TTTTGTTAATCACTCGTATGATTACGCCGAATTGTACCCCACTCGGTCCTATTACCATTATTAATCAAGACTATTACAAAATTCTGGAAAGTGATTGGTAATCACCACCCCGATTTGAGTACTGATAGGATAATGTACACGTTATGCATGTAATTGGACAGTGTTATAGGACGGTTAACACGTCATGACTGTGCAAGTTGACAGAACGCCTCCTGTGCGTGCATTGTTGTCTCAAATTTCCCCGAGTTACCTGTTTTTTTTTTCTGAAAACGTATAACCTATGTCCAGTTTTTTTCTCAAATTATGCCATAGTTTTTATTGATTGGTAACAGGACTTCGTGTCGTCCAATTCTGTTGGTAATCATACTCCTAATTAACAAATAGGACACCTGCTTCGCGGTCGTCCGATTTTGTTAATCACTCGTTTGATTACGGACCGATCAACTACAATCAAAAGATGTGCGAGATACTAAAGTAACAATCTGATCAATCATTATCTAAAGATGCGCGAGATACTAATGAAAGAATCCTATCAATCATTATCTAAAAATGCGCGAGATACCAAGGTAACAATCTGATCAACTGATATCAAAAGATGCGCGAGATATTAATGTAACAATCAACTACAATCTAAAGATTCGCGAGATACTAACGTAACAATCTGATCAACTACAATCAAAAGATGCTCGAGATACTAACTAAGGAATCTGATCAACTATGATCAAAGATACACGAGATACTAACGTAACAATTTGATCAACTGCTATCAAAAGCAACAATATAGAGCATTGCTTCTAAGAGGAAAACTAATATATAATAAAATATAAAACCCAGTGCTTCTGCTACTAGTAATTCCAGGAAAAGCATCCCACTCCTATGGAATTTGTCCCTAGGACCCTAACTACACACTGGCTGTCCACGTAAATTATGCTGATATATGCCTTGACTGAGCCTCTCTGCTTTTGGTGCCTCACTTGGCCCGGGGAGAAGGGGAGTCCAACTTCCCTTCGAAGGGTGGGAGGGGGGGGGGCAGAACAAGCAGTCAATGAGTAGTAAACTAGATTACTAACCCACCCTATTCCCCTAAATATTTTCAGGGAACCCCACACTGACTGATAGCTTTGTCCCTGTAAAATCTAGCGATCGTTACCGAGACGAATCCCCTCCATCAAAAACATTTTGCTAGCTGGGGGTGTTCTCCATCGCACGGGTAAACCAGGTACTTGGGCCTATCAGTAGTGTGCTGAGGGCACAAGCGTAGTGGGAGAAATTTTTGTTTATTTTGTGAAACAGAGCCTTTCAAGCAGATAACCTGTGTACAGCCTTTCCCCTACGATTTCCTTTTGGAGGATGGGGGGCGGCTGTACACAGGCTATCAAGCAGAACGCGGCAATCAAACGGTGAGGAAAGAAGATTTGTACCTCGGGATACTGTGTGACGATCAGAATTCAGGATACTCAGAATACAGCTATTATGACTCTCAAGTTTACATTTAAGCTGCATCTCTAGTTCTAAAGTACTGCTCAATTTATATATCCATGTGATTGGCACTTGGTAGTAAAAAAATGTTCTGCTGTTTTTCACTGCGCCCACGATTGACAAATTGAAAATTTAGCGGCGACAAATTTGCCGAGATTCTTGGTGGATCAAAACAAATTTTGTCAGCCTAGTGCGCCTGGGACCTATGTGTACTGTAAAGTTCTTGTGACCTAAAATAGTTGTTCCACATTCAAATAAAATGTACCGAGGACACTCGACCAGTCCTTTTTTTAATCTCTGGTCTCTGATACAAAAAATTCGCTTTCCTCTTAAACCATCCCGACTCGGACTGACTGATCGACTATGATCGATTCTTACTCTGAGTATCTTTGATCGAGTGACCGCGAACTTTACGGTACACGTTAATTTATTCACTATTTGAAGCATGAATGGTTATGCCGGCCAACTTAACTCAGGGGATTAAATATTTGTTGTCAGAACAATAACGAACAAATGTCCACAAGAATATCACATATGAACAACAACGTACTTAATGCTGCCGATCAAATGATCCGGCATCTTTGACTGCCAAAACCAAAACCAAAACCAACTTAAAGTGTAGGTCCATGGCAAAGTCAATACACTAACAAACACGTCCACTGATCGAAGTTGGACAACACAGTCATCAGGGAACTGATCGTGAAAAACTCGCTGAAACGTTTCAATCAGGAAACCGACATTCAAGGCCTCTGGGACATCAACAAGTAGGTCACGTAATGAACTTTGGGACATAATTATGTCCTTAACGACAGCAGTGTTTGTCACGCAACACCAAAGCACAGTTGGAAAGTGCGTCATATGAAGACGGCAGAGCAGAGGTTAGCGCGTTCATTTTGACATTTATCGGCCATGAACTGGAATTGGAAAGAAGATGAGTTCCTTGCTCTAATTTTCTAACAGGGGTTGGTGTTTTTCCTTTAAACACGCCGAGTTTCAGTCATTCGAACTGTTGTCATAAGTTAGAGGGCCATCGAACTTAGCTTGGTTGACGCTAAAATACAACAAAAACGACTGCAATTTCATCATTTCTTGATTTCTCGGGTGCTTTGAAGAAGCCCTCACTGTGGAAAATGCTAAGTTAACATTATTTTCTTCGGGATGTTTGGTAATAATTAGAAGACTAGCAAGCATACCTCACAGTCTTTTGAACCGTTGATAATTCACAAGAGGAGGGAAGACAGAGTGATGTGTCGTGATTTATTTACACAGACTGAAGGGTAATCTCGATTCATGCGAGGTGCTAATGATCAATACCTCGCAGGAAAGTTTCATCGAAATTTGCATTTTGTACGATTGATTTCAGGCCGTGTAACAAACAATGAGAACCAATGAGGTTTAAGTTGCTCGAGTTAAAATTGTTCATTGTTTTCCTTTTTCTTATCAAATAATTACTTTCGCCAAGAGTTTATTATGACGGCGACAAAGTCATGAAGCATGAAAAAAAAATGGTGAACAAAGACCATTTGCATTGCGGTGAAAGAAAAAGTAAATTTATTTATTTTGCGACTTTAAAATGAACAGAAACTGAAGTCAACGAATTGACATTTTATTGTTTTTCGAGTTGAAGGCCGGAGATTCATTTCAAAGAGAGTTTGACTCAACAAGAGATCAATTAATCAGTTTGGAGTCCGTACTGACATTTTAAAAAAATTTGGAGGAAATTGTTGATTCATTTGTTCTGGCTAAAAACGCGGAGGCTAGTCAAATTGCTAGCAGGTACCTCCAACAGGTACGATATCACATTAACGACTGTTATCTAAAAGCTCTTTGAATATATTTCCAAAATTATGATTCAAAGGCCAACGATCTATGACTCAGTGTTTAGTGTCTGCTTTTTCAGTTGTTAGATTTTGGATCTAATTTGCAAAAAAGTTAGGCGGTCTTTCTATCAAGACTTATGGTGATAGAAACTCTTTCTTTTACAGAATGGCGGAGAGAAAAGCAATGCCGTCCTTTAAGAACAAAATCGCTTCTGAAGATAATATCCGTAGCAGTTTACAATCCAAACTTGTACAGAATGGTCACGTCACGCTGCAGACGAACGCTTTTCAAAACAAGCGCAAAGTGGAGTTATTTATTGAGTGTACAGACCTCGTACAACTGGACACCTTCTCGAGAACAGACCCCATGTGTGTGCTGTATGCGAAAAGACTCGGGCAATGGATGGAATACGGACGGACAGAATCCATACCAAACATGTCTCATCCAAAGGTATACGGTCCGCGATATGATACTAATTATCGAGTTATCAATTTGCAGCACTTCGTTGGCATGCTCAGGGCGAAAAAGAAAAAAATCTGTTTGACTTTTATTCACCTTTATGCTTCTGTTTTGTCTTAAGGGGGCGATAAGTGACTGAATAACATGCTAAGTTAGTGAGAGGTTGAATAAGACATCAAAAAAGAAAAAAGAACCTGCCACCAATATATTTATATAAGAAGCGAAAACAAAAAAGCCCCTTGCGGGCATGATAAGAAACAGTTTTTTTTTTCGTCATCATATTCATTTTTAGATGTTTGTTATTTTCATCCCGATCACATCGAATGACGATATGAATTTTCGAGCAAGTTAACCTTCTACAGTTATTATGCGGTCGCAGTGGTTTTCCAAGAAAAATGTAGGTCGGCTCTCAAGAAAAGATGATTACTGAATATCAAAAGAACTCACCTTTATCCCTCTAGTTAATTAAAAACTCTGCTCCTTTTGATCGCCAAAACGTACTTTTTTAATTTTTAAAAAATAACGCAAAAAGAAAAGCAAACTGTGAGATGTATTCATGTAGTTTAAATTCTCTTTTATTCATTACTTTTTACGCAGTTAAACGCGTTTATTTGGTACCTATCGCTCTCCACTCAGGATTAAACACCGCCAAGAGTAGGAATCCTTTCATTTTGAATGTTAAACTGTCGGCGCTCTTAGATTTTCATCAATGCATGCGATTGGGAGAGGATAATCCTCCCTTTGAAGCCATATTTTGGGGTCTTCATTTCGAAGTTATTAATGTATACTGTATTATGTAAATAGCTCTCAGGTGGAGGTAATTATAAGTTGCTTTGTCCAAACTGTTGGCAGGCCATGACTTGCATTTAGGTTCCGAGTTTTTTACGTTTATTTTACATATCTACGATGTTCTCTCTAAATCTAAGTCATTATTTTAACTGGTAAATAATGGTAAGCTGGGCAAAATATCTTTCGTTCCGTTCTAGAGAAAACCCACCAATAGTTGTTTCCGCTCTGTCATCCATATCGTTCGACATTAGTAAACTCTCCGACAATGTAAAGCCGTATTCAAATAAGCAACATTTCCTTGGAAACTTCACTTTTAAAGGAAAAATTCAAGTCTAATACACTCGTCAAGAAACTGATTTGCTGGAGAAGATTTTTCCGTTTAAGTTTCCTTGTCGACTTATTATTCAAGCAAGCAAATTTCGTCTGCGACAATTTTTTACTGAACACGGGAGTTTGACAGGCTAAAGCAGTTTTTATCCTCACCACCAAACACAACTTTTAAGGGGAAATCTTGTCAAACAAAATTGACTCGAAAATTTGACTATTAAGAAAACTTGCGGATACGAATTCACTCCGTTTTGCCAATACCTATACCCTCCATCATTCCTTTGTCCCCCGCTTTCTTGGATATTGCTCTCTAAAGTTTTTAACAGGTGTACTTCAATCTCAATACCACAATTATCCGGCCGAGATCTGTCCTCTTACACCGTCAAGAGCGTAAAAACAAAAAAAAACAACAACAACAAAATACAGATAACGGACGAGATCAAAGAACGTGAAATTGGACAAACCGAACTAAGTCTTAAAAAACGATGTTCTTTCACCTGAAAACCGTTTGCATGGAGAGATAACAATAAATGACGTTTTATTTATTATATTTCTTTTGTTTCAAGTTTTGTATCTTTATTAATTGATCGCAAGATCTTCGAAGATTGTATTTTTTTATCCCATTTGTAGCATGTTTTAATGTTATCTCTATTTTTCTTGTAGTTTGTAGAAACATTTATCATTGAGGCCAACTCTACGGTTTATCCAAGGTTAAGGTTTTCAGTGTTCGACTTGGCCAACTTTACATCCAAAGATCTCCGTAAACACGATTTTGTGGGCTCGATTGAAATCGAGCTCGACGCATTGTTAGAATCAAGTTGTGGTACGTTGATAAGAACACTGAGAGTGCCAGGAGACGTCAAGTCACGTGGTTATATTCACATTTACGTGGACGATGTGAGAGATGATAAAACAAATGTTAGACTTCATTTTGGCGCCACAAATCTGGAGAAGAAAGGCCTTTTAGGAAAATGTGATTCGTTTTTTGAGGTTAATCGACTTCTTCCAAGGAGTAATCATCATCACCCAGTTTATAGATCTGAAGTGGTTACAAGGACAGCGTGTCCCAAGTAAGTAGATTCACGGTGCATTTTTTCGTGAATTCATCTCATTCCTTCCTGCGTACTTGCATCGTTGGCCCAAAGCTCACTCATTGTCGAAGGAACCCGAAAGCTGATTGGGGGCTGGGTATGAGCGATGAACTTCATTCCAGGAGCAGAGAGTATACTCCTAGTCGCTCTATGCTAAGTTATGAAACCTTCGTCTGCTAAACGAGAATCATTTGTGCTACCCGACCTCGTGTATGGCAATTACAAAGAAAATCCACCATCAAAGATAAGTGGCGTTTCTCTATGGGTGGGAAGTGAGGCCCAGAGCTGTGATCTTCATTCTTCAAGTAAAGACAAAATTATCTTAGAAAACTGATATAAAGATGGCCACACTAATGGCCTTTTTATAGAAGCCCGGGCTTATTTCGTAACTCGGAATGAATCGCCGCAAAGAGAGCCAAATATGAACACTTTAAACAAGTGTGGTTGGTCATAACCTGGTGCACATGCAATTTGTTTACCTAGAGACTGAACCTGGTCGGTCTCTCTGGCGATGAAAAACCAATGATAATGGCTTGTAAGGTGGTGAAGAAATCTAGCTAAAAATGGAATGGTGAAGTGAAAACATAAAACAAAACAGAACAAATTAAAAACGAAAACAAAACAAAAGATGTAGCAAGCATGGTTGTGCGAGGAAAAGTACTGACCCAAGTTAGCGTTTGGGCGAGAATTAATCCATATGTCGGCCTGGGTT